TTTAATAGAATATTTATTATTTTCATATCTTAAATTTCCATTCACATAGTCTCTCATTTTATAGATTCTAAGAATTCCTGATAATGACTGGAAGAATCTTTAGTTTCCAGCATCAGGTCTGAAGAAGATTTTCATCTCTTAACATTTAGTTTCTTTTGAGGATAGTGACCTTATTTTAAGAAAATCAACAGGGTAATTTGGTCTGACTAGAATTTTGGTATTGACTCTAGTTTTAAGAGTTAGTCTTGTCAATGGAGTTTAAACATAAAAATATTGAGATTTACAGCACATTTTCAGAGAGTAAATCTCTGAAATTTGATGTTTTAAGAACTATGGAGCTTGCCTATCAGTGTATAAATGGATAAGCAAACAGTATAGAATATAGGTCTTCAGGCCTGTTTTTATTGTTTTTGGTCAAACATTCTTCTAAGTGGTATAGCACTGGTCTGTCCATTTTCTGTACAGAGGTAATTTGTGGTTGCTGTGATGCTAAACACTGTGACACTGATGTGTCCAATGCGATAATGGTTACCCATGGTAGACAGTGTTTGGTGGAACTCCCTGATTAAGACAAGCTTGGAAGCAGGAGTGATATCCACTTCTGAAATAGCTTGCTTCCAGAAACCCTATGAACTTGGAGAACAATGAAAGTTATACAGGTGTTCAGGTCTTTCATTCATAGGGTTACTTTGAGTTGCCTATGATTCAATGGCACTTAACAACAATAACAACAACAACCACATAGAATATAGATGTAATGTTAAAAAGTAATGATGAATTTGTGAAATAACCTCATACCATGGATGATTCTGGAGTACATTATGCTAAGTCGGAGAGTTTAATCACAGAAGACAAATATTGTATGTTATTGCTATTACTAAAAGTCCAGAGATCTCTCCAGAGTACTGAAGAGCAATGATGTCAGTCTGGAGACTAACGTGTGCCTGATTCTGGCCATGGACTTTGCAATTGTCAGAAAGCTGGACAATGTCTAGGGATAGTAGGGGGAGGATTGGTGCCTTTGAGATGTGGTGATGGAGAAGAGTATTGTATATACCACAGACAGCTTGTAGAACAACAGGTTAAGCCTGGAGAGGGTGAAACCATGCTGTTCCTTGGAGGCAAGGATTCTGAAGTTTCGTCTGACATACTTTGAACTTGTTGCAAGGAGGGACCAACCCTTGGAGAGAGATGTCATGCTTGGGAGGGTGAAGGGACAGCACAAGAGAAGAAGACCTTTGATGAGATAGATTGATTTACTGACTGGGGTAATGGGGGTAGGTATGTCAGACACAATAAGATTGGCAAAGGATAGAGCAGGGTAGAGGATCATTGTACATAGGGTCACTATGAGTCGCAAGCAACTTGACAGCACATAACAACAAAAATCAAGAACGTTTACACACAAAAAGAAATATTCTTTGATGGTTATTGAGGTTTGGAGGAAAAGGCAAGGTAAATAGAAAGTCTAGTAGATTATCAAGAAAACAAAAATCCTCACTACTGGACCAATGGCCAACATCATGATACGTGGAGAAAAGATTGACGCTGTCAACTATTTCATTTTGTTTGGATTTATAATCAGCACCCATTGTAGTTGCAGCTTTGGGAAAAATCTGTTGTCAGAAATCTCTTTCTGTGCCACCACAATGCTGGCAAGGGCATCAGAAATACCGAGAAGACAGGCTGAGCTCCAAAGTCAGAGTTCGGTTCCCAAGAGTGATGATGAAACATGGCTTCATTGGCTAATTTTAAATCATTGATGATCACGGAGTGGGGAAAATTGTTGTCAGCCTTACAGGCAGGTTAAATAAATGTGGCATTATCAGCCCTGGATTTGATGTGCAGATCCAAGATCTAGAACCGTGGCAGAGTAATCAACTCTCATCCTGTCAGTTTGGTTTCATTGCACTGACAACCTCAGCTGGCATCATGGACTGCGAGGAGGCAAGATGAAAACACATGGGGGAAAGATCATGAGGGTCTAGAAATGTAATATATAGTACAGATAACATGCCTCAATGGAAAAACTAAACAAAACACCCAATCCAAAACACCTCTTTAAACTATTAAAGAGCAAAATCATCAGTTAAAACTAGAGGGCCTCTGATCCAAAGCATGGTATTTTCAGTTGCCTCTTTTGCATCTGAGAGACTGGGTGGGAGGAATTGATATGTTCAAATTGTGGTGTTGGTGAAGAGTGTTGCATATCTCGTGTGATTGTCAGAAGAAAGAACAGGTCTGTCTTGAGGAAGTATGACAGAGGGTGCTCCTTGGAGTTAACGATAATGAAGCTTTGTCTCACATAGTTTGGGCATATTGTGAGGAGGGCTTGGTCCCTGGAGAAGGACATCATGCTAAGAGAGGTGGAGAGTCAAGGAGGTGGGAGAGGAACCCTCAACCAGATGGATTGTTACAGTGACTGCAAGAATGGGGTGAACATGGCAGGGATAATGTTGATGGTGCAGGGGGGGCAAAGTTCTGATCTGTTGTTTGTAGGGTCCTTATGGGGCTGTGTTTGACTCAAAGACACCTCATAGCACCATTACTTACAACAGACAGCTGCTGTCATGAACCCTCAAGTCAGAACTGATTCATAGCTGACTTTTCAGCAAGTTTTCAGAAGTAGTAAATCACACAGGAGGAAATAGCCCATCTTTCTCCAGCAGAAACCTGTATGCCTTGCAACAGAGGGTGAACGCATATTCATTTTGGTGAAAAGAAAGGTAATTTTCAATAAAGGTGAGGTCAGTACAAAATGACTAAGGCAAAAGAAGACATTGGGAGGAACACAAGAATTAAAGGTAAATAGTACTCAGTGTTATTGTTGTTATGTGCCATAAAGTTGGAGCCAGACTGACTCTTCAGTGTGTTTTCAGAGGCAGTAAGGAACATGAGAGGAGATAGCCCATCCTTCCTCAGAGCAGCTTGTACATCTGAACCACGTGCTTTGGGACTGCAGCACAGCTTCCTACCATTAAGCCAATGCTGCATATTAAGGGAGCTTTGAAGCCTGCAAGCCAAAATAATAGTAACAAAAGTGATCTAGAAGTGAACCCATAGATTAAATATAAAAGCAGAACAGGTGTTGGATGGTGAATGGGACTACATTAATGAATAGGCAAAGTTTTGATAGAGATATTCCTGTTGTTGTTATGTGCCATTGAATCACCTGCAACTCATAGCGACCCTTTATACAGCGGCTCTGAACCCTGTCCTGTCCTAAGCCAGTCTCACTGGTTGAGACACTCCTACCCCCATTGTCCCAGTTACTGTATCAATCCATCTCATACAGGGTCTTTCTCTTCTGTGCTGCCCCTCTACCCTTCTGAGCATGATGTCATTCTCCACGGATCAATCCCTCCTGGCCATATGCCCAAAGTGTGTGCATCAGAGCTTCAAAATCCTAGCCTCCAAGGAGAAACTTGGTTTCACCTTCTCCAAGACAGACATATTTGTTTTCTTGGCAGTCCATGGTATGTTTAAGACTCTTCTCCCACATCACAGCTAAAAGGCATAGATTCTTCTTCTGTCATCCTTAGTCATTGTCCAGCTCTCTGATGTATAGCAAGTAATTGCAAAGACCATGGCCTGTATCAGGCACACCTTAGTCTCTAGACTGACATCATTGCTTCTCAGTACTCTGGAGAAGTCCGTGACAGCAAATTTACCAAATGCAATTTGTCTTTTGATTTCCTGATTGCTGGTTCCAAGAAAGTGGATTGTTGAGCTGAACAAGCTATAATTGTTAACCACCTCAATCTCTTCTCCATCCATCATGGTGCTGCCAGTTGGCCCAGTGGTAAGAATCTTTGTCTTCTTGATATTGAGCTTTAATCCATATTGAAGACCTTCTCAGCAAGTACTTCAGGTCCTCCTCAATTTCATCTGCATAACACAAATCCTGATGCTACATCCCTCCTCATAAGGTCCAGCCTCCCAAATGATCTGTTCTGCATATAGATTGAAAAGTTATGGAGACAGGATGCACCCCTGACACACTCCTTTCCTGTTTCTGAACCATGCAGTACTTCCCTGCTCTGTTCTGAGGACTGCTTCTTGTTCCAAGTATAGGTTTCACATAAGTGTTCTGGGATTCCCATTCTCCTCAAGGTTAACCACAGGGTAGCACAA